ATATTGGCAACTGATTGCTGCTAGATGAGGAACAGCTGATGTTCCTAAAACAAGGTTCTCTAGTTAGGCTGACTGGATTCAGCAGATGGAGAAGCACTGGAGAATGGCTGGGGGTGTCGAAAACACAGTGGTCAGTAACAGGGATGACAGAGTATATGGGCTCCAGTATGTGGGATGTGGGAGGCTATGGGAGGGTGCCATTTGGGAAGTGGGTATATACATGAATAAAATTGTGTGGGATGTTCTGTATGATATACACACAGAAAAATCAACAATTTTTTTTAAAAAAAGGTCATATTTGAGGAGGAAGAATAGGAATTTACTTCATATTAAATAGTAGAGGTGGTAAAAATTGTCAGTGAAATCTGCCTGATGACTTTATATCCATGCTCAGATACTAAGGATCTGAGAGTAACTGACATGAACAAAATTGTGTGGGATGTTCTGTATGATATACACACAGAAAAATCAACAATTTTTTTTAAAAAAAGGTCATATTTGAGGAGGAAGAATAGGAATTTACTTCATATTAAATAGTAGAGGTGGTAAAAATTGTCAGTGAAATCTGCCTGATGACTTTATATCCATGCTCAGATACTAAGGATCTGAGAGTAACTGATTGTGACTAGTAATCATCAGATACATAGAGATTAAAGACACATTTGCAAACATCTATGTGTTAGTAGCATTAAAAATGTAGGAAACAGCATATTTTAAAATGAAATGGAGATCGTCTTTAAAGGGTAAAAACTCATTCAGTTTTATATCTTACAGTGTTTATACTGAGTTCAATATTGTATAACTGTATTGATTCAATGGTGACCCTAAAAATTTACAGCCACTGTTGAAACATGTATCCTTTTTCTAGAGTGTGTTACTGAATATGTTAAAGCTGTAATGAAATGCTTCTTCTTTATTTTATGTGTATGTGTGTATTGCCTGCATGTAGGTAAGCACAACCATGTCATGCAATGCCTGTGGAGGACAGAATAGGCTGTCAGATCCCCTGGAACTGGAGTTATGGACAGTTGTTAGAGAGAGATTAGAAATGCATGTGAAAACATCTCAATGTCAATTGCCTTAAAATGAATTTTTTCTGTATGAAATTGTGTATTTTAATAATGAAATGGAGATCTTTTTTAAAGGTTAAAACCTTATTTAATTTTAATTCTTTTAGGGTTTATACTGAGTACAATATTGTATAACTATAATAATTCAACTGTAAACCTAAAAATTTACAGCCCAATTTTGAAAGAGATGCATCTTAGCCCTGGAAATTGTTATTGAACACGTCAATGCTGTTGTAATGAAATGCTTCTTCTAACTATGTGATTATTAAATAAATAATTAAAAAAATAAAAATAATCAAAAAAAAAGAAATTAAGCAACAATTCTTCACTTCTTTTCCCCTTAACCCCTAGTAATCTCTAATCTACTTTCCATTTGCACATGCACCTGTAAATTTGCCTGTTTTGTATTTGCCCCTATAAGTGCACTCCTGTAGTATTTGTATTTTTGTGTCTGGAAATTTCACTTAGCATAGTGTTTTCAAGGTTTGTTTATGATGTTGCATGTACCAGAACTTCATTCTGATTGAGAGCTGAGATCCTTTACTTGTGGAGGGATGCTTGGGTTGCTTTTACCTTTGATTTATTGTGAACAGTACTGTGATGAACTTTTGCATATACATATCTGAAAGACCATTTTCAGTTGTTTTTGAGAGTGTTGCTTTTACTTTTGGGTTACTGTGAAGAGTAGTACGATGAACTTTTTCATATATGTATCTGAAAGACTATTTGCAATTGTTTTTGAAGAAGACTTTTCTGTGTAGTCCAGGCTGGCCTGAACTTGCAGTCCTGTCTAAGCTTCCTAAGTACTAGAATTCCAGGTATACATGTAGCATTGTGCACTGTTGTTTTGATATTTTTAAGTTATATTTCTTTAAAAATTTAAAATTTCATTTATTTAGTGTGTATGCACACTCACCATAGGACATGTTTGGTCAGAGGTTCACTTGGCAAGAATCAGTTATCTCCTTCCACCATGTGGGCTCTGGGGAAAGTGCTTTTACTCCTTGAGCCATCTTGCCAGCTTCTCTATTTTAGTATATTTTTAGGAATGTAAGTGCTGGACAGTCATAATTCTGTTAAACTTGTTGAATTTTTTTCTTTAAAATTTTTGAGTTTTTGTAATTTTGTACAATAGTTTTTAATTAAATTTAGACCCCCTCCCCCATCATTTGTTGATTTTTTTAAGAATTAAAAGTATTTATCTAGCTGGACATGGTGGCACATGCTTTTAATTCCAGCACTTGGGAGGCAGAGGCAGGTAGATTTCTGTGAGTTCAGGGTCAGCTTGGTCTACATAGTGAGTTCCAGGCCTGCTGGGGTTGGAGACCTGTCTCCAGGAGACAGGGAGACCCTGTCTCAAAAAAGACCAAAAAAATTTTAAAATTACATTTGCATAATTAAAATAAATTCCTCATTATTGAGGATTGTATGTTGTGTTAGTTTTTATTGTCAACTTAACACAATTTAGAGTCACTTGGGAAGAGGGAACCTCAACTGAGGAATTTCCAGTATCAGATTGGCCATGTTTGTGAGATTGTCTTGACTGATGATGGCACCATCCCTAGTCAGGGGAGTTTGGGCTGTATTAGGAGGGTAGCTAGGCATAAGCCAGAGAATGATCCAGTAAGTAGCATTCCTCCATGGTCCTACTTTTGTTCCTGCTTGATTTTCTGTTCTGACTTCTCTTAATGATGGATTGTGACCTGAATGTATAAGCCAAATAACCCCTTTCTCCTCCAAGTTGCTTTTGGTCAGAGTGTTTTTATCATAGTAGCAGAAGAGTAGCTAATACACCTGAAGTATACCATATGGAATGGCCTACAAGAGAGGCTATCAGCTTAATTGGCATCTAAGATTTGGAAAGGATGCCTGTAGGCATGAGATTTCAGATACATACTTGCAGCTTCTCTGTCTCTGCTATTGTTTGGATATGGTTTGAGTATGCCCTCAATGATTCCTGTTTTAAAAGCTTAATCCTCAGTATGACAATTTTGGGAGATGGTAGAACATTTAAGAGGCAGAATATGGTGGAAATGAAAGAGGGAAGGTAAATGAGTCATTGGAGACTCTGCTCTAAGAAGAGGTTCAGGCGGTTCTCATGGGATCCTGGTTGTTCTCATGAAAGAATGAGATCCTGCTGTCTGCTTCTTCCATTGTGATGCTGTTCTCCATGAAGTCCTCACTGGACCAAAGTTCATACTGGTGTATGTCCTTAAACCTCTAAAATGTGAGGTAAATAAATCTCCCTCTGGTGTGGTGCTCTGAATTGAACCCAGGGCTTTGTTTCATGTCTGTCCTGAGAGGCCACCTGTTCCTCTGGTGCCTTTATTTCTAGAGCTTCAGAGAATGACAACCTCTCTACTTGAGATGCCTTTTAAGATGCACCCCCTTTCAGTTGTTGGAAAACTAAACAAAACACAACAACGATGCATTAAAGACACTTAAAATTCTTTGGAAAGGAAGCATCTGAAAGTATGAAGCCATTTCAAAATGATGTTGTAATATGTTGACTGATGCTGTGTTGAGGGAAAGTAAAATAAAGATAAGAAATAGTTTCTAAAGGTTTCAGGAGACATTTTTCCAATATTTAATATATTCATATTTTATTTTTACCTATTTTTTAGACTATATTTGGACAAACCATGTAGAGTAGCTAGTTCTTACATTTGAAGGCTGCAGAATCTATTAAATAGCAGATATTTATAAAAATATGATCAAGCTGGACGTGGTGGTGCATGCCTTTAATCCCAGCACTCAGGAAGCAGAGGCAGGTGGATCTCTGTGAGTTCAGGGCCAGCCTGATCTACATAGTGAGTTCCAGGCCAGCTGGGGCTACAGGGAGACCATGTCTCAAAAAGAACATATATATATATATATTGTTTTCCTGACTATAGTACAGTACTTTAAGTAATTAGTGAGAACTTGCATGTTGCCTGAGCCTGCTTCATTTATCCTGTAATTTTTCTGGGCTCTTGCAACCTGAGAATCAATTATGTTTACTGAAATTAAAGTTTTATTATGTGGGAATAGTTGAGGGTTTGGAAGTCTCTCAAGAAATTTCACTCATCCTTATCTCTTCCTTCAGCTTGCAGCAGTTTGTGATGTGCTTGTGGAAAACTATGTCCCTGGCAAACTGTCTGAGATGGGCCTAGGATACGAAGATATAGACAAGATTGCTCCTCACATCATCTATTGTTCCATTACAGGTATCTCAGCTCTGTAGTTGTGAGCATTTTCTTGCTTCTATAAGAAACCTCTTGTTGGTGCTGATTTTCCCTTCACCCCAAGCCACAGAGACCGTCAAACAGAAACTATTAAGTAACACTGACCATTGGCTTATTTGTATTTCTTCTCTAATTGGTTGTTTTTAGTTTTGTGAGTTTTCTGTATTGATGTTTTATAAATGTTTAAAAAGTGTTCTTATTAAGTGAATTATAGCTGAAATTTAACCCACTATAAAATCACATACAAACTCAACATATCCCCTCAGTATATTTGGAAGTGCCAAACCAGGGAAAGCAAAGAGTACTGTAAGGTCTTCTGATTGTTCAGCTCTTACTGGGAACCGTGTGTGTGTGTGTGTGTGTGTGTGTATGTCTTTAGATTATGGGGGGAAATTCCATGGCAGTATTCAGTTTTACATATTTTTTAATATTTTATTTATTATTTTTATTTTATGTGTATGAGTGTAATGCCTGCATGTATGTAGGTGCATTTGTGTCATGCAATGCCCATGGAAGTCAGAAGAAAGTGTTGGATCCCCTGGAACTGGAGTTGCAGTCAGTTGATAGCCACCATGTGGGTGCTGGGAATTGAACCTGGGTCCTCTGCAAGAGCAGCCAATGCTCTTACTCTGATCCATCTCTCCAACCCCTAGTTTTACATATTTTATAAGTTTTAGCTATTGGTTAGGGATGCAATGCAGAAAAGTAACCTTTAAGATAGGAAATTATGGGGCTTGAGAGATGGCTCAGTGTTTAAAAATACTGGCTGCTCTTGCAGAGGATTCGGGTTCAAGTCCCAGCACCCACATGGTGGCGAGCAACTGTTTATAACTGCAGTTTGAGGGGTCTGACCTCTGTGGGCATTGCACGACATGGGTGCATTTACATACATGCAGGCAATACACTCACACACATAAAATAAAAATAATAAATGAAATACTTTTTCAAAAGATAGAATATGTCCAGGCATTATGGAATACCCCTTTAATCTTAGTGCTTGGAGGCAGAGGCAGCTGGATCTCTATGAATTTGAGGCCAGCTTGGTCTACATAGTGAGTTCCAGGCTAGCCAGGATTACATAATGAGGCACCATTTCAAAAAACAAGAACAAAGCAAAAAACAAAGCAAACACCAGATAGAAATTAATTAGCTTTTTCAGAGAAATTCATAATATTTTCAATTTTTTAAAGATTCATTTTTATTTTTAATTATGTGTGGGTGTGTGCTCATGAGTGCAGTTGTCTTTGGAGGCCAGAGGTGTTGGACCCCCCTGGAACTGGAGTTACAAATGGTTGTGAGCTGCCTGTCATGGGTGCTGGGACTCAAACTTAGGTTCTTTGCAAGAGCAGTATGTACTCTTGACCACTGTGCCATCTCTCCAGCCCCAATTTTTATTCACTCAACTATCAAATATCTACTGCAGGCCTATGACCTATCTTCCAGGCACTATTCCATAGTCCTGGTAGTAGGAGTGAATAATCACATTATGCTCTCTAGGACATGTATGCTGTGTGTTAGCAAAATACATAAATAAATAATTGTTTCCATAGCTGACTCTGACTGAGATGAGGGCTAAAGAGATAAAGGAATGGTGCAAGGAGGGCTGTTGTATACTGGAAGTTGAGAGGCGTCTTCATTGAAAAAAGGGCATTTGAGCATAGCCTTAATAATGTAAAGGAGAGAACCATAAACATATTGGCAGAGAAGGTTTCAGAAGGATGAACAGTAAGTACAAAACACCAGAAGCATGCATGTGCTGGGTGTGTTTGAGGACCAGCAATGCCAGTGTGGCTGAAGCATAGTGAGGCGAGGGTAAGAACCAAGAAAATCCAGGAGCTCTGGGTTAGAGAGATCATGAAAGGCCTCCGGATTACTTCTAAGGGATTTAGCTTTTACTCTCAAAGACTATAAGCTAATTAGAGGGTTCTGAGAGGAAGAATGGCATGAGCCAACATGGCTTTAAAAGGATCTCACTAGCTACTCAGTTGAGAGATACAGAGAGCAAAGGTGGATACAGAAGCTTGAGGAGGCCCTGTGATGATGGCAGCTTGAGTTACAGGTGTGCTGTTGCAGGGAGAGTGAACTGAAGGGTGATGAGATTCAGAACATGTTTGTAAGGTGAGGCAGATAGGATTTACAAATGGATTACAGATGAGCATCAGAGAAAGAGTAGAGTCAAGGGTGATAGCAACATTTTGGCCTGAGTGGTTAGAAGAATAGAATTCCATTTACTGAACTGAGCAACACTGGGAAGGAGATTGTGTGAGGAAAATTTGTCAAGAGTCAGATTTGGGCATGTTTTACTTGTGCTGCCTGTCAGATATTCAGTTGGAGAGGTAGGGAAAGAGGTTGGAACTAGGAGCCAAGAGTTCAGAGAAAATGGGAAATTTCATAGCTATAAGCAAATAGGATGCCTGGGTGCATGCATTGAAAGGGAGCACAGGCAGAAAAAGGAGAATCATGAACTGAACCCTGTGCACATCAATGACTAGGTGTTTGGATGATCACTAGGAACAGTGAAGGAGACTGAAGAGGCATTGTCAGTGAAGGTGGAGGAGAACATCCTAGAAACCAGTCCTAGTTTTAGCTTTAAAAATAGACAAATTTAAGTGTGAAGACATGAAACATATATTGACCCAAATCACCTGCATTTTCTGAATCTGCTGTACTTTTCCCATGTTAGAACTGCCACATGATGTTCTCTTCCCACTGCTTGAGATTCTGTTCGGCGACCTTTGGCCAAAGCAAGTCACATGGCAAAGCCCAATATAAATGACTGTGAAATAGTCTCTACTCAGTCTCAGTAGTATTTTGATATTATAAATCAAAGTAAAAATTGAACTCCATTTTATACCCATGAGATTGACAGACATCTACAATGTTACATGGCAAAGAACATGGGTTTTCAGCAGGATGAAGATTGGGAATAATCATTCTTTTATTATATCAGCCAAATGCAATGCTAATCCATTTGAGAAGCCTCATACTTTTTTTAATTGAGTTTTTAAAATTTCATACATTTCCCACTCAAATCCAGAACCCCTCTGCCATCCATGCCTCCCCCATTCCCCCACAGAACCCTGTGCACTCTGCCATACATGCTGAGTCTTTTTCATTCAGGTATTTGTACCCAAATGTCCTTCAGTGTAAATGCGTCCACTGGAGTCTAGTCAGCCCACCAGTGGTTGTATGTAAGTCATACTCTCCCTCACCCAGCAGCAGTCAGTCTTAAATGGTTCTTAATCTAGTGCTGGCCTGCCACCCATTTTTCACCTCCCCTTTGGGACTTTGTTTAATTGAGCTGACATGGGTCACGCGCTCGATGCATCACTGCCACAGGCTCACATGAGCAAGCCTCAGTGGCCTGGAAGCCTCCACCTCCCTGTGTTCATGAACAGTCCTGGCTCTTAAAATCTTTCTGCCCCCTCTGATGTACATGGAAACCTCACTGGTGAGAGTTGAGGGGTGCATCATCCCTCTCTCTACCCCTTATTCTGCTATGTTCCATGAGCCTTCGTTGTAGAGTTTCGACTGCAGATGTGTCACCCAGTACTGGCTGTTTCCCAGGTGTATGCTCTCTGTGCCTGACCAGATGGTAACTCTGCAGTAGCCTCCATCTGTTGCAAAAAGAAGCTTCTTTGATGAGTGCTGTATGGCATGCTTGTCACTCTAAGGGACGTCTCTTCTATCTAGCACACTCTTCAACAATTCACATTTATAGATAACTGTGGTTAGGGTCAACAGTTTTTGGGGCCTTGAATTATGATTGTAGAATATTTAAATTTTCTTTCAGTTCTTAAACATTGTATTATTTTATTTTTAGAAAACATTTTTATTGATTCTTTGAGAATTTCATACAGTGTATTTTTAATTATTTATTTAATAACCATATAATTAGAAGAAGCATTTCATTACAACAGCATTGACATATTCAATAACAATTTCCAGAGCTAAGATGCATCTCTTTCAAAATTGGCTGTAAATTTTTAGGTTT